GCCAGAAACAATAACGAAGCTAAGCTGAGTTTGAACTCAGATAATAATTAATCCTCTAATCTGAAACACCATTCAAAAGCATACCACCCACTGGACCTATCTCTTGGAGGCCATAATTAGACCAAGTTTCTGTTATTAATCCATCCAACATTAAGACATCAACGTTTAAACATCTGCTTGAGTTTTGGGGAGACAAAGCCTACTGAAACTATGACACCCTTCTTACGTCCTTATGAAAACAAAGATAGGACACTAGTAAAATGGTAAAAAAAAGTTTCTCTTAGTATAACAATATGTTGGTATTATATTATTAAATTATCAGTTGTACCAAGAAAACTACTTGTTTTTTCATTATAGCATTTCAGTTTGTTTCTGCACCCTGCACTCAAAATCTGAAACCCATTACCCCAGTGTGGGCAATCAGACTAAACCAAGAGATAGAAACAGGAAACTAGATTTGTGATGATGGAGGGGATCTGGGAAACCCAAAAAACTCAGTGGAAAAAAGTAGGAGGAGTAATACTACTGGGTGGTGGTCTAATTAGATGGTAATTCATATGGATGGTAGAGATGTTAGCACTGATTCAAACCCCAAGAACTTCTTACCAATAACTATGACAATGTAGGTGGTCTATGAATGAGCAGAGGAGGTGATTTTAGTGTAGTTTATTGGAAAAAGTGAAGGGATAGAAATTCCTACACCTGATAGGCCAGGCAGGTATCTCAGTAAAGGACTAAGAGTTCAGTCTGCATTCAGACTGGGAATTTTATGGAAATAAGTATGGGTCCCCCATTTCTTTTCTCTTCTTCCCTCTTCTGGCAAAGTCTGGGCAGGGGATTTTGGGATGTGGAATTCTCCTAAACAAACCCATCTGGACAATACTGGCAACCAAGGATCTTACCTGTTGGAGAAGCAAGTGACTCCTTCAGCCCAGTGATAATGACTTTGTTGGATCAGCTGTATTGCTCCTTCAATTCAGTGAAATTCTTTTGATAAAAAAGGACAGGCAAGGGAGATGGACAAGAGGCTGGGTTCTGCTTTAGGACTTTTTTCCTCATTACATTGCACAGAAATTTATTTTTTTAAACTTCTCATTTTCTTTGGCCCCTCCTACACACATAGGCTAATATCTACCCAGCTGCCTTAGCAGAAAGAGATTAGGGGGATGAAGTAAATAATGGTTGTGTATTATATATGAGTTTCCTCATCCAAAAAAGTTTGGTTTAAAGCTATGACAGCTCTTACAATGAAATTCTGCTTTTTTTTTTCTTGCTCTCTTTTTCTTGTTTGAAATTTTCATGGAAAATTTGCATTAATTTTCATCCTATTTTCTACAAACTTTTTGAAACCTCATCACATATGTGTAGATCTTAAATAAAATGTTTGGATTTTTCATTTTAGAGATGAGTAAGTCAAGTGTCAGGGTATTTAAGACTTGATTATGATTACATTAAATGTATATTCCTCATTAATCATTTTACATCTACACTACAGGGATTTAGCAACTATTTTTTGGAAAGCTAACTACAATAGAAAGGAGCAGCTCTCTGAGAATATGGACTATCTGAAAACACTAATCAAATCTTATTTAAATCTGTAGCTGGTAGTATGTTTAGACTGGTATTTTGATCATCATCATCATCAAAGAATAAAGATTTATTAAAATTGTTTTGGATATTTCATAGAATGTCTTATTTCAGAAAATACACTTCAGGGATTTTCTTCTAAAGGCAAACAAATCTGAAAGAATACAAAATGATTTTATGTAACAAGAAAGACAATGAGACCCATCTGTCCTTATGAGTGCCTATTCCAATTACATGAAATCCTGTGAGCCTGGGAACAGGGTATGGATTCTATCCACTCTTTGGTGTCATTCCATTTTAGAAAAGGTAACTTACTTGAATTCCTGATTGAAAAAGGCAATGACAGCTCCTCAGAAGTGGGAAATTCCAAATAGGATTCATATTCCATTGAATGATGTTTTTCTCTGAGCAACAGAGAATCTGCTTTTTGTAAGATTTGCCTGAATTTTATCTTCTTTAATCAAATGTGTCCAAGCATATGGTAAAATTAAATAATAATATGGTGAAAAGGTGAAATTGGCAAAATCCAGAAATATGTACTATGATGTTTAATTGACCAGGACTAGAAATAACAAAATGAGCATACGAAATAAAAACATGGAATATAAAATGGTAGCTTACTATGTTTAGTGTGAGAATATTTGAATGATGACAACCAAAAAGGTATATGCATACATTTAACAGTAAACAATATCTCTAATCTATATGAAAGGAAAGGAAATGCTATGAGCTGATGCAATAACAAAAATAAAAACAAAAACAAAAAAAGAAAAAGAAAAGCCCACCTTGCTTGCCTAGGTGTGAGTTCTAGTCTGTTTCTAGGTCACGTGAATTTTAATTTGCATGAAAAGCATTATTTTTAATCATTTATGTCTAATTTGCAAATGTGTAGTGTTGAGGTAATCCAGGCTTCAAAATGGATTGTGTAACGGTCATACTATGTGTAAGAATTGAGAAAAAAGCCTCTTTGAATTATTTGAGGACTGAGGCTAAGAAATTACCATATGTGTTTTTCTTTTTCTTCTTCCCTACCTTTGACCAGAGAGACAGGCGAAAATGGAGGGCAAAGAGTGATAACTGTGGGAAATCATACCCATCTGAATTATTTTCTCGACTCCTCTGAAGTTCTTTATCCATTGTCACCTGTTACAAATGTGATACTTCACACAGAACACTGAGTTTTTCTTATTTAAATGTTCCCTTCAATAGATGGAAACTATTTGAGGGCCAAGATTTTGGATCAGATGTGCTTTTTTTTTTTTTTTTTTGTATCCCTCCTACACTCATAGCAGGGTGAGAGATCCCAGCAGCTAGCCCTTTGTGTACCGTCAGTGAAAGCAAAACTGAGTGATACAGAGCAAACAATCTCTCCCCTTTTGTTTGCACACAAAATTTGGAAACAATTTCTTATGTATCAGCTAACATTAAGTAAATAGTAACAATCCAGGAATATTTTACATTCTGTGAATTTAAAAACTAAATAATTTGATGCTGATGACCCTCGTCTAGAAGCAGAAAACTAAATCATGAATTGTCTGGGTTGGTATCCAAAGAAAAGTTTACCTAACCTCCCTCCACAAACCAAATAATCTTTAGGTCCCAGGAGATCAATTTTGAAAGCAGTAAACCTATCATTGTTGAAAGGGACTATCAGCAGATACCGTGGCTCATTTTTTCATGGCAAAATTGAAGACAAGTCTTCAGCTCCCTTCTTGACCATCAGCATGGAACTGAACAATTAAACTGTCAGAAAAAAGATCTGCTCTATTCTAAGTTAGGATTTCATGCATTATTTTACTTTACTTCTGGCTACTTTTAGGAATTTTTTTAAGGGCAAGAAATATGTACCTTGGGAACCAAACTCAAACTGCAAACTCAGCTTCCAATTCCCTCAATGAGCCTGGGGTTTAGCTTGAGTGACAGTGGAATCCCCAGCCAGCCAATTAGAGTGTGGTTGAATTGGAAGAAGGCTGAGAGATGCAAGAAACAGTCATGCTACAATGTATGGGTGGGTGGGGAGTGCTGGGAAGTGCAGTGTGGCTGGCAGAAGTGATTAGGCTTGATTTAAATTGAGTTTCCTAACACTGGTACTAGAGCAGCGAGCAGCCAGATTTACATGAAATGGATGGACTTTTTTTCTGATCAGTAGTTGCCACAAAGGCAGAGTCAGAAATGAGCATGATGCAAACCATTGTGAAGGGCTCATTAGCTACATTTCACTTTCATGACATTATAAATGGCATCCCACATAGCTTTTGCCTGGGTTTCTTGCAACCTGAAATCAGTGCTTCCGTGAGTGGTAAATTTGCCTTTTTATAATCTGTCTGAAATAAAGAGTTTATTTTTAAGCCAGTTAATACTTATGAGAATATGTGCAGTTTTTAATAACTAAATATCAGTATTAAAACTACGATGCTGTATTTTTTAATCAAGTTCATTGTTTTCATGGCTTTTCTCCTACTACAGTTTATAAAATAAGATATGAATAATATGAGGAAATTCTGTCCTTGGGTAAATATAAACAAAACTATTTTTGTCATGTTTCTATATTCTGAATACTGAGTTGCCAACTATGTGGGCAGAGACTGGGTTTTTGTTCATTAAGTAGTTCATATTCCTGTCTTACTGTCTTACAAAGCATGTTCGCCCCTGTGCTTTCTGTAAGTAGCCCTTTAAGGCTTCATGTGGGAAGTGTGACTTTTCTTTTCTCAAACATTTGTCTGATAGGTCTCCCAGTAACAAATCCAACTGTTTTTGACTCATCTAACAAAGATGCTATTTTCCCCCTGGAAATTACTCTTTATTGTTCTCTTTAGCGATCTCAGTGGCAGTCTGCTGTATCAATAGGAGTTGTGATAGTTAAATTGGAAAGTGTTGCACCCAACTAATTTACGTTAGTTTATATAGAGCAGTTGTATTGTAGTTACTATATTTGAGAAGGTGAACTTTTTATTTTTTAAACTCCTTTAATATGTCTTATTATCAAGTTCTAAAACAATTCCCTTAACAAACGAGTGATTTTTGTAGTCAAGAAACTGATGTTAACCAACTGTTAGTTTTTCTTTGGTGAAAAGGCATAAAATTGCCTTTTCCCTCAACCATGATTAGTACGGTAACATGGTAGATTTTCCATAAATCTGTGTTGCCAATGGCTGAGAGATAAGGTGAAGATGTTACAACTGTTGGGCCATTTTTTTTCTGTGCATCAATGGAACACATTGTACAGAAGCTCAAGCAACAGAAGCAAAATGTATAACAAAATTTAAAAATATGACATTGCTGTAGTTTGGATGATTGTGTCCCTTCAAATTTTGTGTTGAAATTTAATCTCCCATTACAGAAGTATAAAGAGGTGGGGCCTTTGGGCGATGATTAAGTCACAAGGGCTCTGCCTGCATTAGTAGGATGAATGCCTTTATAAAAGAGGATTCAGAAAGCTGCCTGGCCCTTTTATCACTTCTTCCATGTGCGGACACAGTGTTCATTCCTTCTGAGTTTTCCACAATATGAAGATGCCTCAAGAAGGGCCATCTACGGAACAGGTCTTCACCAGATGCTAAATTTGCTGGCACCGTGATCTTGGACTTTCCAGTCTCCAGAATTGTGAGAAACCAATTTCTGTTGTTTATGTATTACCCAGTCTAAGGGATCTTGTTATAGCCGCAGGAAAGGACCAAGATAGGCATGTGCCATTTCTGTTGTTTAATCAATTATGTATTACTAGTATTTACTAAGGCTATTCTAATTGATGCCCAAATAACACATGCATATGTAAATAACATTTGGTATATATGTGTGTGTGTGTGTATGTTTGTGTATAGATAGGTAAATAGAGATATTTTGAGTTTGGAGTTATGGAATAAATAACATTACACATTTTGGCAACTATCAGATTCTAGTTGGATATACAAAATTAATTAGCTTAAAGGTATACCTTAGTGTCTTGTTTCCTGGGCTTTTAATTTATGCACTTTAATCAATAATTTGTTTATATTGACCAAAATTTGATGCTGGAAATCCTCATTTAAATGAATACTGCTGTTTATGCTTTGAGCATATGTATCTTTTTTTCTTTCTTGTTCAACCTTCAAATACATGCTTACCCATTTATTCTACACTTAACGCAATACAATTAATAACATCGATTTGGGAAGCCAACTTAATTCAAATCCTAGCTCTGCATCTTATTTCTGTGTGTGTGTCTGTGTTTTGGTAAGTTAAGGCCGTTTTGCCTAACTTTATACCTCATCTAAAAAAGAGACTAATAGGAAGACTCTTTGGGGTTACTACGAAGATTAAATGACATAATATGAAGAAATAACAATGTTGTTAACACTCTAATAGTACTTAATACATATTAACTACCATGAATTGAGGCCTCAATTTTATTTAAAAGATGTGTATTTATTAGAAACGCAGAGTTACGGAGATGCATAGGCAGAGAGAAAGATGGGGGGTGTGTTCCATTCATTGGTTCACTCCCTAAATGGTCACAATGGCCAGAGCTGGGCCGATCCAAAGCTAGATAAGCCAGGAGCTTCTTCTGGGTCTCCCACTTGTGTGCAGATCGTATCAGAGAGCTGGATCAGAAGTGGAGCAGCTGGGACTCGAACTTGTGCCCATATGGGATGCTCGCACTGCAGGTGGCAGCTTTACCCACTAGGCCACAGTGCCGGCCCATAGGCCTGAAACTTAAGTGTAGCACATCTTAACAACCCAAAAATATATGTATGAAGTTATAGTGAAAAAGATTCCTAATATATTTTTTTTTTATTTTTTGACCGGCAGAGTGGACAGTGAGAGAGAGAGAGACAGAGAGAAAGGTCTTCCTTTTTGCCGTTGGTTCACTCTCCAATGGCCGCCGCGGCCGGTGCGCTGCAGCCGGCACACCGCGCTGATCCGATGGCAAGAGCCAGGTACTTATCCTGGTCTCCCATGGGGTGCAGGGCCCAAGAACTTGGGCCATCCTCCACTGCACTCCCTGGCCACAGCAGAGATGGGCAACCGGGACAGAATCTGGCGCCCCGACCGGGACTAGAACCCGGTGTGCCGGTGCCGCAAGGCGGAGGATTAGCCTAGTGAGCCGCGGCGCCGGCCAAGATTCCTAATATTTAAAAGTAGAGCTGAGCATTAAATTATTAACAGAATCCAATAAGAATTAAATTAACTACACTTGCTTAAGAATCATATTTGATATTGGCGGCCAGCACTGTGGCGTAGCAGGTAAAGCTACCTCCTGCAGTGCCAGCATCCCATATAGGTGCTAGTTCAAGACCTGGCTGCTCCACTTCCAATCCAGCTCTCTGCTATGGCCTAGGAAAGCAGTGGAAGATGGTCCAAGTGCTTGGGCCCCTGCACCCATGTGGGAGAACCAGAAGAAGCTCCTAGCTCCTGGCCTTGGATTGGCCTAGCTCTTGCCATTGTGGCCATTTGGGGAATGAACCAATGGATGGAAGATTTCTCTCTCTCTCTGCCCATGGCTCTTTGTAACTCTGCTTTTCAAATAAATAAATAAATCTTATAAAAAGAATTATATTTGATATCCAATATGATTTCCAGATGATTCAGAAATTCCATACCTAGTTATTTAACTGAGAATGAAAAGTGAGTATACATAAAGACTTGTATCCTGCTGTTCATAGAAGCTTTATCCCTATCTGGTTTTCCAAAACCAGGAAGCACCTCAAATGTCCATCAAAAGATGAATGAATAAAGAAATCATGGTATATCTGTATAATGGAATACTATTAGCAAAACCTAAGAACTACAAACAACATGTGATAACATGGATGAAAAAAAAGTCTCAGTGAATGAAAAAATCCAGCTGTAAAATAATGTACATTTTATATTCCATTTAAATGAAATTCTAGACATCTGTAATGGTAAATGATCTAGTGATAAATGCTTCACGGTTCCAGTTTCCAGACTAGATCCTGCAAGAGAAAACAAACATGTTAAGATACTGGAAAGGAACGGAATATAATACATCAATATGATTTAACAAAAGGAAATGAGAAAGAGAAGAGTCAAATAAATAGAATAGAAAATAATAGAATTGATCAAGCAAAAGATGATCCTTTGAAATATGATAATATGCTTGCAAGATTGATTAAGATAACAAATGAATTATACACATATTAGGAATGAAAAAGAGATACTATTATAGATTCTACAGGCATTTAGAAGAGCATAAGAGGATACTGTGAGCAGACTCATAGAATGGCAGATGTCCTAAACAGCACTCTAGTCTCAGAATCGGCCCTTAAGGCATTTGGATCTGGCTAAGAAGCCCATGAGAGTTTCTCAGGCATGGAAAGCCAAGACACTCTGGCAAAAAATGACCTACATGAAAGATCTCTGTGAGATCCCAGTGGAAAGAATGGGCCATCAAAGAAGGAGGTACCTTTCTCTGAAGGGAGGAGAGAACTTCCACTTTGACTACGGCCTTGTCTAAATAAGGTCAGGCTGAAGCCAAGAACCCAGAATTCCAACCTGGTGTCCCAAATGGGTGGCAGAGGCCCAAGCACTTGGGCCATCTGCTGCTGTTTTCTCAGGTGCATTAACAGGAAGCTGGATTGAAAGAGGAGCTGTTGGAATTCCAGCCAGTCCTCCGATATGAGATGCTGGCATTAGAAGTGTCAGCATAACCCTCTACACCACAATGCCAGTTCCCATTCTTGAACTTTTTAAACCCAGGACACTTTTACAGTCTTTGAGAACATTAAAATGCTTTTCTTTATGTGGGTTTTATCTGTTGATACATACAGTGTTAGTATCTGAAACTGAGATTTTTATGTTGCCAAGAACTGTGAAGTCTCTAAATTTTACACTACTTGCAAGCTAACAAGTTAGTCTGCAACAGTTTAATTAATGTTTGTAGGAGAGATGAGATGTCTAGGACACAAACAGAGGGCATTGTATTTCATAGCGACCACAGTAGCCAGAGTATCAGCAGTTTCTTATGCCGGTTGTCTGTACCCCTAATGCTCCAGGGTGATGACAGCCAGGTGACAGCAGTACACAGTGAGTTTTGTTACAGGAGAAGAAATCTGGGCTTAAGAGCCTGATTTCTTTTAAAAGATTTATTTATTTATTTATTTGAAAGTCAGAGATAGGAGAGAGAGACAGAGAGAGGGAGGAGAGAGAGAGGGGAGGAGAGAGAGAGAGAGGTCTTCCATCCACTGGTTTACTCCCCAATTAGCTGCAACAGCCGGAGTTGCGCTGATCTGAAGCCAGAAGCCAGGAGCCAGGAGCTTCTTCCAGGTCTCCCACATGGGTGCAAGGGCCCAAGCACTTGGGCCATCTTCTACTGCTTTCCCAGGCCATAGCAGAGAGCTGGATCGAAGGAGGAGCAGCCGGGACTAGAACCGGCGCCCAGAAATGCCAGTGCTTCAGGCCAGGATGTTAACCTGCTGTGCCTCAGCATCAATCCAGAGCCTGATTGTTTTATAAGAGGCAGTAAGCATACCTGCTGTTTGCTCTGGAGGGAGACACTACTTCTATATTCTTAGGTTATGCACTCAGTACCTCCATCTGCAACAAAGTGCTGAAACAGGAGACACGGTGTATCTTCCTACCCATTCCATGGTAACACAAGTAACATATGTTATGAAGAATAACTGTTTCCAAAACAAAATAACATTAGTGGGGAAAGTAGCATTGCCTACTGATTTTGCAAGTCTGATTAGTATCTGGCTTAATAAAAGAAGCTTGTCTACACCTACATTCATTTTTGTTTGTTATTTTTATATAGCTTTTGGAAACTGTACACTCATGTAGAGAATGAAAATGAAAAAGTCATATAATAACGTGATAATGATGACCATGATGGTGATGATGATGACAGTGATGGTTACTGTTGTTTGCATTCCACTGGTCCTCTAAAAAAGTTTCAGGCACCCAAAGGTGGCCAAACTACACTCTGAGAACTGTTTCTGTGTATCAATATGATAAATAAAATAGAGCAGGAACTAAGTACATGATTGGATCTCAAAGAGCAAAAAAAAATCTTAAAATTATACATCCTTGTGATTGAATTTTATATTAAGTTTGGAAGGAGATATAAATTGGGGCTGGTACTGTGGTGTAGCTGGTAAGGCCACTGCCTGTACTGCTAGCATCCCATATGGATGCCAGTTCAAGTCCCGGCTGCTCCACTTCCAGTCCAGCTCTCTGCTATGGCCTGGGAAAGCAGTAGAAGATGGCCCAAGGCCTTGGACCCCTGCACCCACGTGGGAGACCTGGAGGAAGCTCCTGGCTCCTGATTTTGTATTGGCCCAACTCTGGCTATTGTAGTCATTTGGGGAATGAATCAGGGATAGAAGACCTCTCTCTCTCTCTTTGTCTCTGCCTCTGCCTCTCTATAACTCTGCCTTTCAAATAAATAAATCTTTTAAGAGAGAGAGAGAGAGAGAGAGAGAGAGAGAGAGAGAGAGAGAGAAACTAGTAAATTATGATGGGAACAGGAATGGTTAGAGATTGAGAGGAAGTTATGAGAGGGGTCCGTTCTGGGTTGCTTGCTACATTTTAATTCTTACTCTGGTATTTTCATGAATGTGCTCACTGTGTGAACAGTTAAAGAATGGAAATATGCACAGTAAGAG